GCTTGCAAAGAATAGTTCTGGTGCCAGTGCTGTGAACTGTCCACAGCAGGGGGAACAACAAGGCTGTAGTCAATTTAGCACCTACAATGATATGAGCAAAGGTTGTCACTTCAGTTTCCTGTGAAGCTCATTCTCTGTGAAGAGCTCATTCTCTCTGCTAAACAGGAAGGTGAGTTTTGGTGTTACGTCAGCAAAAAGACATAGGTTAAATAAAACGCTTTGACAAGCTGGTCGTCCTGGATTCTTAACAAGTGTTCACTGTGGAAGTCAAACTAGGAAGGGTATCCTGTAAGGGCAGAAAGGGATATATTGAGCAGCATGGAGGATGCATGCACAGAACTCTTCCTTTCAGGTAGCCTTGGTATGCTGTCTGGAATAAAGCATCTCCAGGAGTAAAGTAAGGTACAGTAAGTATTTCTTGGTGGTGTTTTCAAGGTATTGAAATCAAAGGTTGTAAGAGACAGTGTGTGTTCCAGTCACTGAACTGCTACTCTCTTGCTAGTCCTGTCTGTAAGAATTATCTTTTTTTGAGGTGTTTATCCAGATGCTTAACTGTTGGTTTTCTTATGTAGGCCTAAGAAAACTTGCTTGTTTCTGTTTCAGAAGCTCTTCAACCTTTTGTGTTATGTTAAATGAGACATCAATGGTCTGAGAAGCCTGCATTTGAAGTGGCCTACTATGGTTCTGGAGCAAAGGTGAAGATTTCACTGAAATTCCCATTTCTCCTACTGAATTGATCCCTTGATTCAAAATCTTAATATGGAATTTCATTCCACAGTCAGCTATTGTGCAGTCCTGGTTATTTAAATATGTTTTCCCCAAAAGGGATACAGAGGTACTTCGTCTAAAGATTAAAGTGGGAGGGAGAAGGTAATGTTTTTGGCATCTGAACCACATCATGGTTTGCCTACAGGCAAGGCATTTATCTTCAGGTCAGTCCTTATGCAAATAAATATATTTCCGTACTTGTTAAGTGTTGTCATGTTTAAGGTTGGTAGAGTTGCTGAGATTTGCAGCTAAAAACATGTTTTCTGGTGAATCACTGCAATGTAACTGTTTTTTCTTTCAATGTTCCATTGCACTCAAAACTGAAAAAAGCCAACTTAAATTTCTAGAATAAGTTTAAAAAGCAGTAGTAGCTGTAATGGCTTTCACTGCTGTCTGAATCTTGACAGCACTATCCTGAAAGGATTGCAGTTTATAGTGTTGGATTTTTATCTGGTTTTCATATCTGTTCTTTTAACTTTGGAAATCATCATATGATTGCATTAGATGCATAAGGGATTAAGTTTTTAGGACAAAATGCTTTCTTGTGCCATGTTAGCGTATTTTTTGAAAATTAAATATTCCATTGTGCACTGCATAATTACACCGTGCATGCGGATTTGCAAGCACACTATTCTGTTGTGGTGAACCTTTACTCATAAACACAGCGCTAAAATGCATTCTTGCTGAAATTGTTGGCAGAGAGCCTAATCTTAAAAGGTGTCCGATATGATAACACCTATTAAAAGTGTGCGGGGAACTTGATAACAAGTCTAGGATGGCAGTTTTCATGCCACTCTTTTTTATGAGCGTGCCCGGTGTGATCTATCAGTGTGTTACGAATTCTTCTGCAGCTCGACATTCAAGAGATACAGAGTTTGGAAAGCAAGACCTTTATTTCAAGTTATATTTAAGACTGAAATATGTGTTTCTTTGGCCTAGCGATAAGTACTTTTCAAATTTCTGGTTTTGGTGTATGGTTGTTGGTTGGTTGGTTGTATTATTTTGTCACACTAATTATTTTTGATGCTTTAATTTTGGCCTCCTAAACACTGCAGAAAATAAAATAATTTGAAGTCATTTTAGGCATTATTTCTTTTAGTCTCATCACAAAGTCTGCAGAGAACATAAGGTTAGAAATGCTTTATTAAGTGTAAGGACCCTAGAATCTACAAACCCAAGTATTGTATTGTTCGTTGCAGTGAACACCTTCAGAAAGTACTCAATGATCATAAGAACACCTGTGCAGTTTTGTTTTTAAGCTTTTGTGCTACTATATGTTGTGAAAATGACTGAAACTGGCATGCAAATCAAGGGAAGGGTGAAAGGAAATATTCTGATTTTGGGGTGGGTTTTTGTTTATTTTGGGGTTTTGTTTAATTTGGGGTTGTTTTGGTTTTTTTTAGTTTGCATGAAACTACTTGAAAGTAGAACGTTGTTTCCAGCTACAGAAAGCAAACTGAACTGCTTTGAAGTGTGCTGCTGCAATGAATATTTTCTTATACATCCAGTTCTTTTCTGGAAAGTCACTGTGAGGTGTGTGCTAAACAAGCAGTGTTTAAGACTTAAATGTTGCCATGATAAAGAAACCTTCAGCACTCATTTTTAAGAGAAAAGGTGGACATAAAGATGTGTATAAAATCCCTTTCTGTGTTTGACAGTATGCATTTTATGGCAATCAGAGCATCAATGGCTATCGTAATTGCTTGATTCTCTATTTCTGCATTCATAGCCTGGTCATGCTAGTCATTTGTCAAATACATGCATGTCAATGTTCTTTTACTTCTCCAGAGCATTGCAATGTTAGATCAGCAGGCAGTGTTCACATAATAGTAATGCCTTTCCTCTTCAGTGCACCCTGGAATTTACTTAGCACCAGTGAGGATTAGACCCTTAAAGGGCACTAAGTAGTTCTCAAGGGGCAGATTTGTCATCAGCTTGCTGATCCCAGTCCATCTTCAGAACAAGATGGAAGTTTTCAGCTGGCTGTGAGCCACAAATAGCAAACACTGGAAGTGTTCACTGAGGATTATGAGGTAGATGGATATCTATGTAAATCTGAAATGTAGACATGACTTGAAATGCAGAGTAATATTAGTAAAATGGTATATGTTTTTGTCCCCTTCTTAATGGACATCTAACTAGCATGTGAGAGCTAGGTAACAGCTGTGAGCCGTGGGAAAGTAATTTGACCTTTGAGTGGTTTAGTTTTCTAGATACTAATAAATCTGGCCGAGCGCTTGGAGTTTTGTTGGGTTTTTTTCAGTAATACTGCTCAGTACCTCCTGTAGTCAGCAATGGCTAGAATGTTCTTTCTTGCTAATCTTGTTTTGTAACTGATGGTACATTTGGGCAATGCAGTATTTTCTTCTTGTGGTGAAAATAAATGAGTTTTCCAATCCAGAGCTAGATACCTGGGTGTTTTAAAATGCTGGTTTTCTAGCAAGCAGTATGCTCACGTGTACATGTAATGTAATGCAACCCTTTACAGTTTGTATGATGTGCTGTTTTCAGCAAAAACTTAGCTGTGTCATTTTTCTTTGTCTTTTCCTGTTTTGCCTGAAAGATTCCCTGTGACTCCTGGGGATTTTTGGTCATGTACTAAATCTAAGGTCATCATTAGTTTGATTGTAAAAATTGTGTTTGTTCTCTGTGTGTAATCAAATTTCAGTGGTAGCATACTGTGATTCCTTGCATGTGAGAATTAGTTTTGATGTGAAGAAAACACCTACAGGCCATGGGATAGCTGAGTCTTAAAGTGTGCTCGCTAAAGTGGGTGTGGTCAAGGAGGAAGATAGGGTTGTGTTGTGCACAGCGCTTCTAAAGCTTTGGCTGTGATAAACTGAAGAGTTTTGTGGTGAGGGCAGTGTATTTCATATCAATAAGCTGGTAAAACGTTTGTTTTGAAGACAAGAGGACACAGACTTTCAAAAACTTCAGTAAAAGTTGTGTTTTGGTTTGTTTGGGTTTTATTGTTTTTTGGTTTTGTTTTGTGGGGTTTTTCTACAGCAGCTCTACAAAGAATATGTGTAGAACATTTTTTGGCTTACTGTGTTTTAACTGTCCTTGTCACTATTTTGTACTGTTATGTGTCAATGATAGCAGCATGGGGAGCTTAATAACTGTTCTGTAGTTGAATAATTGCAAGGTGCTTGGTTTTCCCTCCATCCCAAGAGCTGGAAGATTAAGAAGGGGAATGGGAGTAGGTGAATTAATTGCTACTGCAGTGTTCCCGCTAGATCGTACTTGAATTTCTCTTTTGTGGGTACTTCCAACTACTTGATGCCTGGCGATTTTAAACTGCTTGATCTCTTAAGTATTAGGATCTAAAAAAAAAGTTTTTTTTTCAGCTCAGCGGCCTTCTGGAGTTTACATATCACCACTGTTGGAGATGAGCAGATGAGCAGAAGGTGAACAATTTAAAAAGCATTTAAGCACCTAAACTTTGTCTGTGACTGACGGTATCTCATGCTTTTCTGATAATCATCAAGGATCCATTCTCTATTTCCTTTACTTCCTCCTGCTCTTGCCTTTGTTTTCATGAATGGATTTAGAAATGGAGTTGCAAAATGATACCTTATTTTAAAACTTTAGTATTTAAGAGAAATATGCTGTTTTTATTAATGTAACTTTATACAAATATTGTGGGATTTTTGAGTTTTAAAATCCTCAAATCTGAGCCACAGTCTGCTGACAGTCCCCCATCCCACCTTTATTTAAAAGAGAAGTGATGGTATTGTCACGTTTTTGTCTTGGAAAACTCCAAATGTTATCCTTCTTGTACTAGCTAACTGGTTATACTGTATTATTTTGGTTTTTACCCCCACATTTGCATTTAGAGTCAATTAGACTTGCAGTGAACAATTACTTGTTAGATTTTCCACTAACAAGTAATTTTTAGGCCAGTTTTGTGCCATTCATGTGACTCTTGTTTCCAGCCTCATTGTGGTGCTCCCCTCCACACTTAGTTAATCCCTTGGGAGTTGCTACAGTTACTGGTGTTCTTCCTTCCACTTCACAAATTAATAGGCATCTGCCTTGATTCTCTTAAAAGCTAGTAATGTCTTCCTAACTGTATTGATCTTTGGAAAAGACTTGGCCTTTTGTAGTGCTGTGGATGTGTGGAGATGTTTGTTAGTCTCTTACTGCAAGAATTCTAATGTTCCCTTTTTTGGGGAGCTACAAAACTATATCCTGTGCTGCAAGCCTCAGGAAGAAAATTCTAGTAAGAATATATGATTGTGTTTCCATCTGCTTGTGGCTAGTGATGTGGTAACTAGTTTCATGTATGCTAGGCATGTCCATGTCATTTGTTTCCTGGACAGTCACCTCAGTGGGGCCCTCCTGAGAGTAGAGGTGTTTTTGTGGTGGTTCATCATTCCTGTTCATACTTCTTTTTAAGGGTTTTTTGCACTTCTTAGCTCAGGGACTTGAAAGTGTTTGCCATTGCTGAATCTTAATGCCATAGTTAAGTGTGTGCATCTATCCCAGCTTTAAAGATCTACCAGCTGTCAAAGATACTTGATTTCAGTTAGCATTTGCTTAGTTTTACTGATCCCAAAAGAATCCTTGCTATTCTAGGGACTATGTTGAACTTGATGCATTTATGAAGCTTTTGATTTCAGGGTGGAGTTTTTTTGTGCTTTAAGCTAGGTGCTCATACAACAGCTGTTACTGATCTGATCTCTCTCTTTTCTGGTTAAAGTGACACTTCAGAAATTAGTTTAAAATTAACATTGCCAATGACTTAAGACAGGTCTGGCCAATCTTCGTAGACCTGCCAAATTATACCAGAGTCGTCCTGTGGCTGAGTGCCACCAGGCTTGTGCTGTGTACTGAAAAGGGAATGGGGAGGGGAGTGCTACTAGGGCCACAAATGGCCACAGTAGTCCCTTGGTCTGCTCCTTCATTGTGATGAGCTTGCCAACATGCAGCACCAACTCGGGACATCCTGTAAAGCTGCTCTCAGCAGCCTTATTTCTGAATATCTGGTCAAATTTTTGTTGCAGTACATAGCCCTCACTGATGATTTTGTAACATATCCTCATGTAAGTGGTGCACTTGAACTGCTCGTGGTTGTGGACTGGAAGGTTGGCCATTCTTATCTTAGTGAAATGGGGATGTGTCTGGGGATGTAATAAGATGCAGTTAGCTACCCTAAAATACAGGCATTGTTATATCTCACAATTTATTTACTTGTTTACAGATCAGTGTGTTTAATTCTGTTGATTCTTTTGATTTTCTTGTTTAGTGTGGCAGCTTTGCATGTTTGATCAACAAAGGTCCTGATATAATTGATCTCAACACTTTAACAGTGTTGGTTTCTTAAAGGTTGTGCACTGACATACCAGTGACAGAAAAGGAAAATATAGATCAAAGTTCGTAGGCACCTGTCAGACACCGTTCTGTATTTTTGCAATAATGACAGCATTTTTCATCCTTTTCCTTATAGATCTCCTTTACCCTTTATGAACTTACATTGATGGAAATGAGCTGATCAGTTTTTTCTTCTCCTCAGTTTGATTTTACTTCTAGTGTAACTGAAAGCAAATAAATGCAGAAACACAAATAGATTAATTACCTAAAGATGAAAAAAGCCCCAACAAACCCACTTCTAAGATTTCTCAGAAACATGTATAGGATTCAGAAGTACTTTTATATTATGCTAAGTAAAAACAAGTTTAAATAAATTTTTCTTTGTGAATAGCAGGTATAGAGCTCTGAGCTAGGGATGAGATTGTCAGAGGTGGCTCACTCAAGCTGAGCTTTCATCCTTGTTCTCCTGATAGCATTCAGCATTTTTGGTAGAAGGAAAATAATTTTTCAAACTCATTGCTCCAAGACCTTGCTCATTATATGCTTTAGTCCCTAATTTTTTATGCATTTGGCTGGTTGGGTGTCCTTAGCTACACTGGGACAGAGTCTTTGTCTATACAAATCTTAATTACGTTAATTTATTCTTGAGCTTTTAATTTAGTTATATGGTTATTATTTTGTAGGCTAAAATGGTCTATTTAGTAATGTGGTCCTAGAATTTTTGTGGAGTTCTCGGTCTGATATTTTGTGGATATCTCGGTCTAATCCATTTCTTTGGTTTAGATTGATTGTTTTTTCTTCAGGTCTTGAACTAATAAAATTCTGATGCAGCTTTTTAGGGGTGTAGGTACAGCTCTTGCATTGTCAGGTGACTCAAAGCATCATTACTGAACCAAAGGAAACTTTCAAGTCTTTTTAAATAGTTAAAATAATTTGAGATCTTCAAGATAGGGTAGCAAAGCAGTTAGAATCTTAAGAGAAGTTGGCATGCTTCTACTGTTGGAAATCACTTTAGTAGAGGAGCTGGAAGTGTAGCAACAGTGCGTGTTTGGTATTAGAAAAAAGTAAACAGTTGAACTGTTGAGCAATCCTGGCTAAATTCTTAGAAGTGAAATCTGCTGGGATGTTGAAGTTGCCTTTGACGACAGCAGCCTCTTGTACAGCTGGGATGAGATTTTCATTGTTGCATTTCATGTATCTATCTCAGTTATATTCAACAAGCAATGAAGAAATAAAACAAATGGGTTGTGTTGTAGTTCTTTTCATGCGGTTGTTGATGTTGCTAGCCTGAATACGTTAATGGAAGCCAACTGTAAAATGATAGCACCTAATAACTAAAATCTTCACATGTGTTGGCCAAAAGCTGTTAATCCAGTAACCATGCATAATGTTTATTTTCTCTTTGTCGGTTTCTGATTCCAGACTTGATGTAATGTATTTCTTTTCCTTCTGCATTCTGACTTGCAAGTGGTTTGTTTGAAGTCAGAATCTTTAAAATCCTGGCTCTGTGCATTTTAATATAAATACCTTTTAACCTAGGTATGGGAATTTAATAACAGTTTACTAATTGTAACATAACCGAATGGTAAGAATGAAAAATATAAATAACAGTTGAACTGTATAACTACTGAAACATATGTAAATACTTTATGGTCATACTGTTAAAAGATCCTAAGAATGACCTTTTTGTTAGGGAAGAACACGTAGAAATTCAAACCAAAACCAAGTAATTCTAAAATTATTTGTTGTTACTGAATCTGGAGATATTGTCCACTGTCTGATTTAAGATGATTCACTCTCTTTCAAACACAGAGACAGTCATTATTTGGACAGCAGTTAACCCAAGAGTCTAACATCTGGATCCAAGACCTTTGTGCTTGTCAGTATAGAACAGGATGATGGGATGGGGTTTTTTTGGTCCAAAATAGGTTGAAGTTGTAAGATCTAAGGTGCAAGGCCATTTAGATTGAGGAGGGAACAATAAAGCAACACAGCCCAGGATGAGGGTTAGTGGCCTTAATGTATGCTGAGACAGGCTGCTTTTCCTATTCCTATTTTTGTATAATCTTGTATGCAGTCAACCAATTTGACTTTAAGACAACAGTGCAATACTATTACTAGTGTGTCCTTAGGAGTAAGCTGGTTTGTCTAGCACTAGCTACCAGGGCTGGCATCGCTGCAAGCAATGTTACTGGTGTTACTTTGGCAGAAATGCTTTCCAAAGGAGGTATTTCTGGCAGTGACATCACATAACTTTGTATCTTTAAATGTCTGCCAGTAAGTGAACTGTGTGCAAGTTTGACCATCGATCATCTGAACAAGTTCTTTCACAGCTTGGGCTTCTGCAGTATCGTGGTAGTTTGGTGTGGCTTGTATTCAGAATGGCACCCTTCACAATCAGGAAGGCCGTGACTGCTCCAGCACAGCCTCCTGGGCTCAGCATGGAAACTAGGTAGTTTGTAGTGGGTTTTTTTTTTTCCCTGTCCTTCTACCTCGTGAGCAAATGCAGCTGTTCCGTGGTTAGCTGCTGTGCAGGATGGAACCACAATGACTGGAAGAATCAGTGTCACCTCGGCATTTGGTCAGTGTTTTTAGTGGCACGGTTTATTTATTATGTATGGTGCATAGTACTATAACTCAGAAGTTTTTTCTAGCTAGTAGGAAACTGAGTTTGTGAGGACCCTGTCCTCTTGAGCTTGCCATGAGTACTTGAGAGTGTGTACACGTAGTTGTCCAGTGTGCTCGCCAGAGCAATGCCTAACCTTGCTGATGGGATCAGCAAATGGAGAGAATGCCTTATTAAGCTGATCTGGTTTCAGCCGCTGCAGTTTTATCAGGAATGGTAGATGTGGCCATTTCCAGCAGTGTCTTTAAGTTTTCTCAAGTGGAAAGTGATTCTGGCTTTGAACTTCACTGTAGTTTTTATATATAAATTGATCACTCTTACTAGTCAGCTTTAAAAAAAAATACCTCTTTTCTTTCAGATGAAGTGTTCTTTGTTTTGTGTTTATAACATGTTTCAGATTGGTCATGAAATTGGGTATTATATTTTCTTGTGAGTATTGAGAAAAAGCACTGAGCTGCTCTTTTTACTGCCAGCATAGAAAAATTATCTGTTCATCTTGGAAGGGCTGAGCTTTGGCTCAGTCCTGGGTAGGCTGCTTAGTGAGCTTTTGGGGTCGTTAAAGCCCATCACTGGAGAGCTGCTCATTTTTTCTGAGATTTCCAAAGTGAAGACTTGGTAAAATGAACTCCCAATACATCTTCTATGGATAACAAGTCTCTTGAGGCAAGAGATCCTACTAGTTCATATTAACAAAAGCTACTATCATCTGTTGGATTTTTAAAGCTTTTTAACTCTTGCTTTATATTTCAGTAAGTGTAAATGTCTGTTAACAAGGTGCCCATGTCTTGGGGGAAACACTTCTTCAAGCGTACCGTGTTGTCAAGAGTGGATTGGTAATCCACAGCAAGGCAGTGCCTTGATTTTTACTTTGGTGGATGGTCTTGAAGAGGTTTGATATATGTTCTTACCAAGAGTAAATTCAGCTTAATGTTTTGATTGCAATATTTTTTTCCTGATATCCCTCCCTATAACTTTTTAAAATATTATTGCAGTACCTGCTCCGCTCATCACTGCCAAAATGGAGGTGGTTTCAGCAGAAGTCAACAGCTTGCTCCCTGAGGAAATAATGGACACCGGTATAACCTTGGTGGAAGAGGACAGCATCGAGGCGGTTATCGTGTCATCACCAATGGGAGATTCTATTCCCATGGAAACAGAACTGGAAGAAATAGTGAATATAAGCTCCTCAACTACACCTACAGCCACGGTCACTACAGAATCAGTTACCGCACCCAGCAATCACTCAGGCGACGTGACAGTGAACACCACAATCCCCAAAACTGATGCAAATGAAGTAAAGCCTACCTTTCCAAGTGCCCTCCATAAACTTGGTGCTCAGACCCCTGTCACTATATCAGCCAATCAAATTATTCTGAACAAGACTGCCGATCTTAAAATAGGCAATCAGAGTATTAAACCGGATGGGCAAAAGCTAATTGTAACAACTTTGGGCAAGTCTGGCCAACCCATTGTTTTAGCATTACCCCACAGCCAGCTGCCACAGGCGCAGAAGACCACATCCCAAGCCCAAGGTGGAGACTCCAAGGTACAAGGCCAGCAGATCAAAGTTGTTATTGGAGGTCGGTCGGAAGTGAAACCTGTTGTTGGTGTCTCAGCTTTGACACAAGGAAGTCAGCTGGTAAACACTGCAGCCCAGCCTTCTGTCTTACCGACCCAGCAATTAAAAACAGTACAGGTAAAGTGAGTTATGACGATGAAACCTCTTAAAAAGAATTTTGTTGCTGCAACTGTTGTCCATTTTCTTCACTGACTGACACATGGTTGCTTTCAGCCTTTGCATTTATTTCTTGTATTGAAACATACAATGCTGCTCTTAGCCCATGCTTTTGTCTGTGGATGCATTTACCATTTTATGTCCTTTACCTATAGCTACTGTCTAGAAGCCTAAGGTTTGCCCCAGAGAAAGTGAGCTATTAAAATTCAGTAAATTGAAGAGCATTTTCCCATTATTTTTATTTTATAAAAATAAATTCTACATGCTTTCAGGAAGACTGCCTTGAACTCTCCATGCCTGTTTCTTTATTCAAAGTGTATACTGCTTTATTCCTTTACAAAAGAGTCCCTTTTGGCTCTTATGTTTAGTCTGTTGTTATTAAACTCTCTGGAAAAAAACCCCTACAGCATTTGAAAAAGAAGAGAAAGGTGTATCTTGTTTGCCTCAAATCTAGTTAAGCTTGTTAATAGGTATCAGTGAACTAGATGCTATCATGAGCTGGACACTTCTAGACCCTGTTCCTGAACTATGGCATGGATGTTGTTATTTGAAACCAGAGATCTGAAAATGTGTTGAAAAGACTGTTTATGACCCAAATGGTCTACTTTTCTTCTGATCTAAACTAAAGGTGAACTAAATGTGTATGACTTCATTCTAGTTGGCAGTGAAGCAGGAATAAGACCTTATGAAAGTGAAGAGAAAGTAGAACTCAATGCAGGTTAGGGTGGAAAAATATTTGTTTTACAGTCTAAATAAAATTAGAAAGTATACTAATAACTAATTTTCTGCACATGAAAAATTATGAACTTTTCAGGATATTATGAGCTGAATGGTAAGTTTCCTGATTAGTATTTAATGGCAAGCAAATGTGAGCAACTCCCAAGACAGTTTGTTTTAAAGCAGCAGGTGACTCCTGCACTGATTTCTGCTTTCTCCTCTTTTGTTCCTACCTCATACCTGTGGAAAACATGTTTCATAATGACAGTTTGAAGCATGTCCATTTTCTCATGTGACACTTATTTTTGTTCCTTGGTCATTAATGATTGTTGTCATTAAAGCTTTCAAAAAAGTGTCCGCTTGAACTCAGCATAGGAACATTTAAGAGTGGATCAGTTCCTGTTACTTGGCTTCAATTACTCCCTGAGAAGCTAAGGAGAATATGACTCGGCTCTGGTGTGCTTTTGCTCTCATGAGATGACCTGTGCCATCAGTGACTGAAATAGAGTGACTTGGCGATTGACCTCTGCTGTTTGTTAGTAGGAATTATACATATCCCTTAGAACAGCCTGTTGTAAATGGGCTTGCATCCATTTGTAAAGCTACTTAATTGCAGTTTGAGTAAATTCATTTTGTTGTGGTTGTTATTAAACCTTTGCATACCTTTGCAAAACACATTGAATTGTTAAACACCTGGCATTCCCTTTTTCATATAAGGAGAGGAGGAAGTAGAAATGAAAACAAAGACGACAACATTTAGTTGGTTTTAAGTACCTGATATTGTAGGGAAGATTATTACATTAGTACTTCCCAGACAGTGCGTTTCCGTGTGGGAAATTACTAAAATATCGGAGAGAGATATGAGGCTAGGCAGAAGATTAATGGTCTACCCTATCGTGAATGACAGAGGACATAACCCACACCTTGAGTCCCTGGCTTAGAAAATTAAGTCACCCCATCATCCTGAATGAGCCTCTTAACCTTTCAATGAGTGGAAAAGGAAGCTGTGAATGCTTCCCTGCTTCCCAAAGGCCTTGTGTAACTTACCTCTTGTGGCTTTGGCAATCGGACATCTCAGGTGCAAGCGCAGCAATTTGATTTGGTGCTAAAAAGTGAATTGGTAAATGGTTAGCCAAGATTTGACAAAGAGCTCTCTTCAGTTCTCCTTATATTGTCACTTGTAGAGGCTTTCCAGATCACTAGAGAAACTCAGTATCGCTGTAATGTAATTGTGACGTTTGAAATCTCAGCACTTGGGGAAAGGCATAATTGATCGAGTTGAACAAAATGTTCCTCAGAACCAGGCTCTCTCTCTGACTACAGTTTTAGCAGTATGAGGCTGTGAGGCATAAAATGTGGCACGACCTTGGGCTTCATCTATACCAAGAGTTTTATTACTGTTTCTTCTGCTATAGCCATTGTCCTGATTTAGTTGAAATTACTGTCCTGGATGTGTAGATAAAACTACTGGGCAAATGCATCTACTTTCAGCCTGTGGCTCCTGCCTGTGTACAGGCTTAAATACAATTATGTGCCTGCTGGTGTTCTACTTTAAGTGCATTAAGTGGAGGTTTAGCCTTGCAGATGACTCTCAACAAGATGTCCAGACCTATCGCCATTGCTGTCACTAAGCTGGTCTAACTTGAATTTGTCTTGATGTGATACCTGACTGTGTGTTTCAGCAGTTAAATCTACATGTCCATAGCATCATTGCTACCATGGCAAGGCAACTGCTAAGCCATCATCGTGGTTTTGTCTTATCATGGAGAAGTGACCACATGCACTCCCTAACCTCAGAGCACACTCCCGCTCCTATCTCAGTTTCTTCATCGTCTCTGGAGACCACTGTTCTCCTCTATTTCTAGAATCCATGATTTTCCATATTATGCCAAATATAAATTACATAGGGTGTGGCTACGTGGACAGGCTCCCATGAGGTCATCTCGGGAGTGGATTTATAAGATGTTCACTCCTTTGGGTATTCAGTCCAGCAGTAAATGCAAGGTATGCATAAATGCAGGATATGAGTAGAACACGACAGCTGAAAACTAAGTCTGGCTGTAGAAACTTGCTAGTTCATCTTGTTTAATGTAGAGTGCTTAGGAAGACACAAATTCACCCTTTCAATAAAGATGCTTGCAGATAGATCTCTGTTTCTTTAGGGGGAAGAAGGTTGGTGTGTGCCTCTAAATAGAATTTCCTTATGGATGTGCTCGTTGCTCCACAAAATATTTTTGCAGTCTAATTCAAAGTAAGTTGCTTAGCTTCCATAGGCAGCAGAATGATGTTAAGCTCCTTGTGATTAGTACAGGCAATGGCAGAGGGCTCCAGAGAGCTTGCTCTTCCTGAAGCATCAATGGGGCACTCTGTCAGCTTGGTCATTTCCTCTGGCTTCTCCAGTCTCTGGTGAAATGGATAGTGAGTTTCCCACTAAGGTCTAGAAGGCTCCCACAAGCAACTGGGGTTATCAGCTCCAGTGGCAAAAACCTCAGGAAGGCTTGATTGGCAGCAAGTAAATGCAGGAGTACACTGTGTGTACTTGGGGCCAAGGGCTGTTCTTTACCTATCACCAACCATGTTGGTGTTTTGTCATGTTTTCTAAGCCTTGAGGGAATTCAGTTGTTTGTTAGACTGTTAAGACCTTCTTTGTAGACAAACAGTTTATCCAAAAAGCAGGGGGAGGATTTATCTGAGGGAAGATACTGCAAGTTGAGTCTAAGGGAGGTGGGGGCACTAGTGTTGGCCAGCTGTTGTTTTGAGATTTTTACTTTTTTCTGAAATACTTCATGTTAACAGGTAGCTGGTATTTGACAGGTATTCATGTAAGTAATGTAATGACCATTACTAGGAAACAACCGCTGTTGTTCAGAGCTTGCTGTTCCTGCTGCATGTTGATCATGAGCCTGACTTTGCCCTCGCTTCAGAGAGTAAAAGCAATAGCAGTTGAGTTACAATAATGCCTTATGTCTGGGTAAAATTAATTTCAGCAGAACTGAAATCTCAAAACCATCAAATGAAATGTAGGGAATTTATCAGAAATTAAAAATGTGTAAATGTACCAAAAAAATACTGATAAAGTGCCTGCTCATCTCTCAGCTGTGTATGTGCTAAGAGAACTGAATCCTTGAAATGTTAAGATGGCCTTGAGTTAAATTTGTGAACTATGCTGTGACTGAAACTTCCTTCTTCAAAGAACTTATATTTCAAGGTTTTAGTTAGTATCTCTCCAAAAAGAGGAGTTTCTTAATTCTCTGTTTCATTTTAAGCCTTAACTATTGCATACCACCTATAAGGTTGAGTGTCTATGAGTAAGAATCAAGGGGAAGGCCAACAAGGCAGACATCTCCGTGGGAGTTTGTAACCAATCGGACCACCCAAGCAGGAAGGTGAGGCTGATGAAATACCGTATAACCAGTTGGGAGAGATTTCGTGATTATCACCTCTTGTTCTTATGGGGGAATTCAACTTCCCAGATATCTGCTGGAAATGCAACACAGCAGAAAGGGAACAGTCCTGGAGGTTCTTGGAGTGTGTGGAAGATAACTTCCTGACACAGCTGGTGAAGGAGCCAACAAGGGAAGGTGCCCTGCTGGACCTGGTGTTTGTGAACAGAGAAGGACTTGTAGGAGATGTAATAGTTGGAGGCCACCTTGAGCACAGTGATCATGAAATGATAGACTTATCAATTCTTGGAGAAGTCAAGAGAGGGATTAGCAGAACTTCCATCTTGGACTTCCATAGCGCAGACTTCAGCATGTTTAGGGACTTGGTTGGCAGAGTCCCTTGGGAGGCTGTCCTGAAGGGCAAAGGAGTCCAGGAAGGCTGGACACTCTTCAAGAACAAAATCTTAAAGACACAAGAGCAGGCCATCCCCACGTCCCGAAAGATGGGCTGGTGAGATAGAAGACCAGGCTGGCTGAACAGAGCTTTGGCTGGAACTGAGGAACAAAAGGAGAGTTTATGGCCTTTGGAAAAGGTCACAGGTCACTCAGAAGAACTACAAAGACACAGTGAAGCTGTGCAGGGACAAAATGAGAAGGGCCAAAACTAGAACACAATCTGGCTACTGCCATAGAAGACTATAAAAAAAGCTTCTATAAATACATTAACAGCAAAAGGAAGACTAGGGAGAATCTTCCTCCTTTATTGGATGCAGGTGGAAACACAGTGACTAAGGATGAGGAAAAGGCTGAGGTACTTAATGCCTTCTTTGCCTCAGCCTTTAATAGCAGGACTTGTTTGCTGGGTATGTGGCCCCTTGAGCTGGAAGGCAGGGATGGGGAACAGAATGAGACCACCATAATCCAAGAAGAAATGGTTAGTGACCTGCTGCACCACCTAAACATCTACAAGTCTATGGGGCCAGATGGGTTACACCTGAGAGTGCTGAAGGAGTTGGCAGATGTGATTCCCCAAGCCACTCTTCATAAATTATCAGCAGTCCTGGCTAACTGGGGAGGTCCCAGTGGACTGGAGATTGGCAAATGTGACGCCTGTCTACAAGAAGGGCTGGAAGGAGGGTCTGGGAAACTACAGAGCTGTCAGTCTGAGCTCGGTGACTTTGGGAAGGTCATGGAACAAATCATCTGATCAGGCCCAGTCAGCATGGGTTCAGGAAGGGCAGGTCCTGCTTAACGAACCTGATCTTCTATGATAAGGTGACCTGCCTAGTGGATGAGGGAAAGGCTGTGCATGTTGCTTACCTGCACTTCAGTAAACCCTTTGATACTGTTCCCCACAGCATTCTCATGAGTATGTTTACTCAAGGCTTGGACAGATGTACACTCTGCTGGATGGCTGGGCTAAGAGAGTGGTGGTGAATGGAGTTAAATCTGGTTGCCAGGCAGTCACAAGTGGTGTTCCCCAGCGCTTTGAGACCACTCCTGTTTAGTATCTTCATCGGTGACCTGGACAAGGGAATCAAGTGCACCCTCAGTAAGTCTGCAGATGACAGTTAGGTGGGAGTGTTGATCTGCTTGAGGGTAGGCAGGCTCTACAGAGGGACCTGGACAGGCTTATGAGCTTCAGGACTTGGCACTGGGCCTTGTTGCACTCGGGTAACAGCAACCCCATGCAATGCTACAGGCTTAGGGAAGAGTGTGTGGAAAGTTGCCCAGCAGAAAAAGGCCTGAGGGTGTTGCTTGACAATCGGCTGAACATGAGCCTGCAGTGTGGCCAAGGCAGCCAAAGGCATCATGGCCTGCATCTAAAATAGTATAGCCACAGGACTGGAGGAGTGATTGCCGTACTTGAGTAGTGTGTTCATTTCTGGACACTGCAGTATAAGAAAGACATTGAGAAGCTGGTGAGGTATCTTGAGAATAAGTCTTATGAGGAGCAGCTGAGGGACTTGGCATTGTTTAGTCTGAGGACAAGGAAGCTGAAGGGAGACCTTTTCACTCTCTACAACTACCTGAAAGGAGGGTGTAGAGAAGTGGGTGGAGGTCTCTTCTCACAAGTTACAAGCAATAGGATAATAGGAAATTGTGTAAAGTTACACCAGGGGAGGTTTAGGTTAGTTGTTAGGAAAAACTTTCACACTGAAAGGGTTTACCAAAGACTGGAACAGGCTGCCCAGGGAAGTGGTGGAATCACCATCCTTGGATGTGTTTAAAAGCCATCGAGATATGGTGCTCAGGGACATGGTTTAGAAGTGGGCATGGTAGAGTTAGTTCTAACGGTTGGACTTGATGATCTTAAAGGTCTTTTCCAACCATAACGATTCTGTGATTCTATGAAAGCAGCCAACGTGACCTGGGTGCAGGATTCTTCTGAAGAATACTCGTAGGGTAACCATGGAGCACCACATGGGTTCCTTTAAATGAGGTCTTTTTTCTGGCACTGTCTGGTGCCAGAGCTGCTTGCTGCTGGCTTCTGTGGGCTGGACACAGCTCAGGCACACAGAGGCGATGTTTGCTTTCCACAGGAGTCTGGAGGGCTCCGGTGCCATAGCAGGGAGGAAGCTCCAGCTCCCCAGCTGTGCCATGAGTGTGCTGCTTGGAGCCGAAACAGCCTCACACCCACTCCATGCAGGACAGCTGGTGAATTTATTATGTGCTGCTGAATACTTCGAATGTTTTGGTGTTACTCTACTGTAAAGGAGGTGTTTTCAGTCAGCATATTCTATAAATAGGATTTTGTGTAGGAAACCACAATATTCAGCCTACTCAATTGCTTAATTTCAACACAACTTTCTTAGGCTATTAAAAGTAGCTGTCATCTCTGTATCTTTGCGTATCTGCGAGATTTCTCTAGTTAGCTACTTGAGTAATAGAGGCAGTTCTGCATCTTTGAGAGGTGTCTCCCCACGTGGATGTCAATGTTGTGCCTTTGATTTTGCTGGAATTGGTGGCTTGTGCTAATGGCATGTGTCTGGGTGTGTGTGGTGAAGCGGGGGGGAGTATGGGCCTGACCTGCAGAGTGGGTAAATGGAAGAGCTTCAGTAATGCCTTCCAGTGTGCTCGCCTGGCCTTTGGGTATCGAGTTTCAGGGAAGGTCTTAGCAGTAGTCTCCAACTACAGGCAACCTTTACAGTCAACAGATTAAAATAGTCTTTGAAGGAAGTCAACTTCTTAACTGAACTGTTCACCAGCTGCATGCCGGTGTATAGAACTATTAGGATAAATCCATCTGGTAACTTCTGTCAGAGTGGAAAAGATTAAAAAAGTATTGATTAAGAATTTAAGACTATAAAACCCTGCTCATAAAGATTTCAAGGTCAAATTATCTGTATCATCAAATTGCACATACATGTTCCTGGTCCAGTTGTATTTCAGGAGACAGGATCGTGCAAGGAAAAAAAGGCCCACTTGTACCTGGATGTAGCCAACTGATTGATTCTTGTCTAGTGAGTATCTAAAACCTTCAGGGACTGGTGATCCACATACATTTTGAGAACTCTTGTAGAAATCTGTTTCCCCAGTTGCATGATAAAAGTGTGCTATGTCAGAACAGGTCAAGACATGTTTTAGATGTCTAGTGGTTGTCACATTTAAATCAATCAAGGAACAAGTTTTTTTACTAACTGGCTGAAAAAGAAGTAACTTGTTTAGAGCTTCAAGTATTAAGACTTGTGCATTTAATCATAACACTTCTGTATAGATAAATTGCATGTAATAAATAATTTTGGCATCTTGAAGATGAGGTGTGTTTGCACAGAGAGATATCTTAACCAAATCCTTTACAGTTTTTGGTATCCTGTTTTGATGGCTGGTTCTCTGAAGGGGCACGGATGATATCCTAGTACTCTCCATAGAGAAATGGAGGTGTAAACGCAAAATAAGGAATTATTCTTCTAATTTTGTGTGCAAGTATTGCCCTCTCTTTCTGATGTACTTAACAATACAATAATGTAGAGCCAAAATGCTCAAGTTACTTTAGATCTTTTTTTCTTCCACCTTTCAGATTGCGAAGAAGACACGAACCCCAACTTCTGGGCCAGTGATCACCAAGCTGATCTTTGCAAAACCAATAAATAGCAAAGCTGTTACAGGGCAGACCACTCAAGTGTCACCGGTCATTGCAGGTTGTACTTTGACTTGTTTTGCTTTACCACTTTTTAATGGCTGTCCAAAGATGTCGTGATTGCAGAAATTCTGCTGTATTGATGATTCTACTGTAGTTTCTGTGAAGTACCTCAAGCAATTGAAAAATGTCAGCAGAGAATTTTGTAGGTAGAAGGAGATAAATGCAGTGGTTGATACCCTTACACTTTGCTCATTTTTAATTATCTTTGTTATTGTAGAGTTTGATCATTTTGCTTTTTCTGTAAGATGCTTTTGCTTTTTGGATTTTGGGGAGGAGAAAAACATACCTCACAGGGAAAACACTGTTCAGTAACAGAAAGTATTTGTAGGTACCTTATATAAATGCACAAGGAGAAAAGGAGACACATGCTCTTGTATTACTTTAATTTACTTACGTTTGGACCTAAATGTAATACATGCAAATAGCAAGAAAAATGTTTGAGTGGACAAAAGTTAATAAAACTGTGTTGTTTCTGTTAAGTTGTTCACCTACTTCAGAAATAAGCATCGCCAAAGACTTAAGAAGGTAACTAAGGCAAATAAGAACTGGTTTGTCTCTTTGGAAAACAAATCTGTGTCCTTAAAAACAAACAACCAACCCAAAAAAACCCTCAACCAAATGCCAAACCACACAGTGTAATCATTTGTTTGTTATGGCAGTAGGACTGATGTGTCCCTTGATAAATGCATCACTGCATGTATTCAAGTATCATCTGAGACATGTAAATCATCTCAAAAGGACAAATGTAGGAAGCCAGAATCATCCTCAGAACTTTGAAGGATGTCTTTAACTGTTTCCAGATTGACCAACCCAAGTAGGACTAAAATCTTTTCTACATGTTTAAATGAATTTAAGCCTTTATAGAGCTGGGGCTTGATCTGGTTTTAAAAAGAATGCAACTGTCTCCTGTATTGGAAACTTTGATAGATACAAGTGAATGGCACATAACTGAAACGATCTTTCCTTGAGTTGTGAGACTGTCTGTGTCCTGGGAATTCTGTGAGCTGAGGTGGAAGTTGTACATTTGAAAGACTTGTCAATACAAGGAGCTGTTTTCTGTTTACGAAACTGACAGCAAGGGGCCTCAGAGGGGATGTAGTGAGAAAGGGAAAGCTGTCACTAGGAAAAAACCAACTTGAAGCACTGAGTACTGTAGATGGTAAAATTCCCACAGATTCTGACATTTTTCAGGTTGTATGTGGCTTTAGCAGCTGCTGGCAACTATGTATGCTGTTACTTAGGCTGCACAAAACTGAAGGTTATTTTAGAGCACATAGAACTTGGAGGAAGACATCTTTATATGGGTATGATGCCTTTTCCTTTGGGTTCTAATGGACTTAATTGTCCTATCACTGGTTGATTTTGAGTGGAAAAGTTACACTGGTGTGTGTTTGTTTCTTATTTTTATGCATGTAGTACAAGAGAATGGGTGACAGAGAGGCTATGATAGAAATCAGTCTGAGCCAAAGTGTAGCAGAGAAAAGCTCAGTAGTTAAGCCCTCTTTGGAAAAAGAACTTAAAAGTACGAAAAAAAGCAACAACAACAAAAATCCCTCTGTTTTCCACTCTGGGAGTTTTGCAACGTTCCCGAGATTGATTTCATTATTTGGAGCTGTTGGTTTTGATGGGAACATCATATATTCTATTAGGCAGTGGAAAAAAAACAACCACCAACACAGAGCAGAAAAAAATACTGAGTGTAGCGAGATCAAGCACCTTTTTCTTGGTTACTGTAACGCAGCTTGTTTCAGCTGGCTGAGGTTTTAAAAGGAAGTAGCCCCCCACAGATGCCAGATTTCTCTGTATCTTGGCCGCAGCCCAGGGAGTTCCTAGGAAGCTGCCAGCTGGCTGAGGGTTTGTGTGCAGCGCAGGTGGATTGGGGGTATGCGCGCCTCAGGATGATGTGCTGGCTTCAAAGAATTTTCAGCTGAATGTCACAGAAAGCTTAATGCACATTTAGCTTTTTTTAAGCCTCAGTAAAGGTCTTTTTATTTGCAGTAATGCCAATTAGGTTCTTTTTTACTGCTAAATCTAACTTAAAGAATGCTCATGTCCTTTCTATTAGGCAATACACTCTCAGAAGTAGGGGTCGATTGTGCGATATGCAGGGAAAACTTTTGCTTTAGAAGTTAATGTAAACACGGATAACTGAGGAGCTGATGGTGTCTTCACTGTTTATAGGTAGAGTTGTTTCACAGTCTGCTCCAGGAACACCACCAAAGACAATAACAATCTCTGAGAGTGGAGTCATTGGATCATCTTTGAGTACGACAACACAACAGACATCAAATAAAATAGCTATCTCACCACTCAAATCCCCTAATAAGGTAAGGACCTGGTTCTGGTTGCAGCCCTTCTGCACAGTGGTCTGAATGGAGTGGTCTCTGTGTCTTTGCTACAAGCCGTTAACTATCCAGCCGCTCCAGAGTCTCCATTGCGCATCACAATGCTTGGTGGTAATGGCTTAAGCAAGATTTTTTGCAGTTGGCTCTGTTACTGAGGTTTTAACTGAGGGATTACTGCATTAGTTTCCTTTTCCTGCCATTCCCTGTGCATCAATTCTGAGAGCATCTGTTCTCTCTTAGCGAAGTGCTCAAATGGTAGGTTTTTTTTATGCCTTCATAAATAGTCAGCAGGCTGCTTATGAGGAGACCTCGGTGATGTTAACAGGTTAGCACTTACTAAACGTTGTCTGCTAGTGCATAGATAACTTAGTAATCACAAAAATCCATGGGGCTGGATGGAATTCA